TGTACGACATTAAGGAATATATTCTCATGAATATGTGGAAATTTTCTTTTGATTTTTTCTATTCTGTTAACTTATACGCGCGTGCATATATATATAATGCGTAAATATAAGATATACATATGAATACTTAGGCAGAAACAGATACACACACATACATACATACATACATACATACATTATATATTATATATATATATATATATATATATATATATATATATAATATATATAAATATATATTATATATATATATATATATATATATATATATATATATATGTATGTATGTATCATATGCATGTATGTATGTATACATACATATACAGCATATGCAAGAATATATACTTGGAAACACATACAAAAACCTATATAATGAGAATATACAGAGTAATTATATATATACGCGGATAATATATACACACAGATGAACCCTGTAAATTATGATCACGAACAAGACAGCAACACAAGAGCGAGAGACAAACACAGCAATATGAATATACAGAGAGGATAATAATATGGTGATATTGAGATAAAGAAAAGATATAAAGCAAAGAACACACGGAAAGGAAAGATCAAAGAGAGAGAGACAGAAGTAACGAAGACCAAGAGAAAAGAAGACGAACACGAACACGAACGAGATAAGCAGACGAGAGAAGAGAGCACGAGAGAGGAAAACGAACGCAGACAAAGTTAAAACTCCAACTACACACTAATCACACCACAGTAACAGTAGCGTAAGCAACGTAGAGCAAAGACAACACACGACAAAACAGGAACAGCAACAATGCGCACCGATAACATCCCACTGATTAATACTTGCTATCGGTTTATGATAGGACTGTATTATTTTATTTTTTTTTATCTTTTTATATTAACTGTTTTATTTTTATTTTTTTATGAAGAAGTAGTAGAGCTCAAAGTATTGAAAAAAAGCGCTATTCCCATATATATATTACATTTAACAGACCCCGTACCCCCCCTTTCATTTATTATTATAGTACCTATAAGAGAAATCTTATTTCACATATTTCGTTGTCCTATATCGCTAGAGAAAGACAATTTTAACTGGACAGGGCACCTGTCTTGGTCACACTTAGCAAATATGCTATAGAGTTACTTTATCCCATACTACACAGTCAGTCACACAACACACATCACAGCACCATCACCTTTCAGCAACTAACACTGAGCACACAGAACGGCATCCACATTCACACATCATCGATTCACACAAGCAACACAGCACAAGCAAACAACATTAGAAAATAAAATAGAATATATAAAATAAGGAATATAAATATAATGAATGAACTATGTGTCTGATATAATAGTCCAGTATCTCTGATAGAGGGTAATACAGAAAGGAGCGTTAATGGAATGGTATATTCAATTAAAAGGTATATGTAGAGAGCAATAGAACAATGAAGTGAAATATCAGAAATACATTAGAAAGGATAAAAAAAAAATAGATTTCCCAGCTAGGCAGTAAATAAAGGATAGGTAAAATAAAATTGGACCATAGTCAAGGTATAATACCTTACAGACGACTCGAGTAAGGGCTATAAAGCCACTAATCTCTAAACGACGGAGAAAATGCGAATATAGGTACATACTGCACCGACACAGGAAGTACCGCTCTGACACATCCGAGACAATAGAACTTGATGATAAACCACTTCAGCTGAGGGTTAATGAGAATAATTATAAGTAAGTCCTTACATATGACCAATTTCTGAGTCCCCAGATGGTCGTTTATGTGAGTCGATGCTAATGACCCGTGATTATACGAATATTACCTATATACAATGCTCACCGAGAGTTGCGACATTAACCCTTGAGTGAATACGATATTGTCCGTAGAACCGTCCTGGGTAAAAGTTGGAGGAGGTGTGAATTGGAAAGGTGAGGGGTCAGAGTGGGGATGAGAGGGTGACTGTTATAGTGGGGATAGAGGTTTCAGGGGGCTAGTGTGCATACACTAATTCGGTATAATATATATATATATGTAATGTATGTAATATAAACACTACACAACATGTGTAAACTCTCACATTCTCATCATTCTTTTCTTGAGCCATTCTGCGCTCTACTCACCCCCCACTCCACTCTCATCCACCAGACACCTAACTTACCGACACTTACGACACACACACTATACTATGACTTGACCAACATACACAACATCCATATACAAGCGAGCAGTCACACTAGCCACACAGAACTAGCCGAGATACAGACATATATAAATATATAATTATTATAGTTAAACTACTGCATGTAGGCAAGTCGTGAGTATGCGTATATAATTGTCTTTTATATATTTTAATATACTTACTGTCTGTTCTTCTAATTATTATGGGTAATAGGTAGCAAATAGGCCTTTTAATAGTCCCCGTCTATAGCTTTAACTATAACTAATTCGCATTACAATAGGAATAAAAAGTTATAATTATTAGTATGGCAAGTATGGCTATCATCACTGCTGATCAACCACAACAGATGAACAGAAGATCCAATTAAAACTAAATAGCACACAGGAGCATAGTTACAGTCATAAAATTACTCAAGCCTCTGGACCTATCGCTTTAATATCTCACCGTATGTCGTAATCCCAAATACAAGTAATATGGGATCATGGAGCTCTTGCTAATAAAAATAACATCCCACATGCTAATTGTTTAAATTATGTATAGATCTTACACCTGCCAGCCTATAATGCCATATAAACTTATTCTATTTATTATGCCCGAGTACTCAAAAAATGAATATGACCTCCGAGTTTAAGCTTTGATAATATATAAGTTACAACCGACTATGATTTATAGCACTTCATTTTACGTAACCAATTATCACAGCGACCCGATTATGTGTGATCGCGATAGTGCGATGCCTTCTTGAGCTTTATCGGCTGTAATAATGAGGTGATCTGAGTTATAAGAAATACAGAACATATTTTTTTTTATTAGTATTTTAACTCTATGCATTAGGACGTTTCAATGACCATTCATATTTTCACTAATAAACAGAATCATAATAGAAATTATAAAGATTTAGAGTTGTCGAGTGAGACTTCCCTTAATGGCACGGTAGTTAGCCAGTGCTGTTCACCGCCCAGTAGAGTTTGACCAGTGCACAAGCGCGTTTTGCGACCTCATGTGTCCGAAATACATGTATACATTAGGAGTACAGGCCAAAGGGGTTTTACGAACTGTATCAAAGTCTAACAGTTATTGCATTGGCAACGCATTAGTATATATGTGTACTAGGTAAGATTTAATATCGTAATAGGTTATTATGTGAAAATAAAATATATTATATTAATATATCTGTAAATGTTTAGTCTATAAGTATTTTAACTAAGTACCTAACAACTGCTTGTATAGATATATGAGTTTAATATAAAGGGTAATTTAAAGTCAATGCTATGGACGATCTAAAAGAATTGGATAAATATAATAACAATCATAATGTGTATTGAAATATAAGACATATATGTACTTAAATACCAAACAATATAATTGATAGTTGGATTATACCACTTGAGCACATGTAATGGTCTAAAATATGATACTAGATGTACACCGAAATAGTGAGAATATGACAGTGATAAAACCATAAATAAGCTTAAAATCACTCAGGGATTTTTTAATATTAAAAAATGTGGAATGCAATTATTTGACATCTAACAAAGAAAATAAGTAAATATAAACTTAGTAATCAACCAAATATGTATTTCATTTACTTATGATTTAAAATCACACAGATCACAGATGAGTATTCCTATTAACCAATAAATGCTATCTATCATATCACCTGAGCTAAAAACTCTTCGAAAATCTCTGGTCACTGATATTATCCTATAATGATTCACTATAAATATATATTCAAACAATTTACTATACATTTGAGAATTTTTAATAAATCACATAAAAAAATAAATATAAAGCAATTTGAGAATTCTACGAGATCACGACGACACGACTATCACAACAGAGAATAAGCCGAGAAGCAAAACAAAATCAGCCATAAAAAAGAAAAAGAAAGAGAATGAAAATCTCAAACATCGAGCATCGCAAAAAACCACCACATCTACTTTCTCAGCTGCTCCCCCAAGGAGGCCTTCGTAAAAGAAAAACGGAGAAAAAAAAATGAGAGAGACAAAAGCGGGTCGGTATAAGAGAAATACGAAACAGGAAAACTCTGTGTGTTGCCGCTTAGAAACTAGATAGGGCGCAGACAGAACGGGGTCGACACAAAACAGTTAATGGGCGACATCCCAAACCGAGAGCAAACAAACATACACTGAAGGATAGACAACAGACAAGACGTCTCTCCGCAAGATATCTGACAGGAGACGCAACGAACCATGTGCACCGAAACTACGCCCCCACTATGCTCCATTTTCCCATCCAATCCGCTAAGTACCCAGTGTATAACGAGCCGGACGGACTACGGTGGTACAGTCACACAGGAGCGCTCTCCGCAATGTCTTCGGGGATGGCAGCATCCGACAGAGTTAAAGGTGCTAAGTCAAGTCACACATGTGGGCAGGGGTACAGCATGGCAACACCGGATAGAAAATGTGTAGGGAAGCGACACGCGACGGTGTCTTTGTATAATAGTCATTTCTGGATATGTTAGCCATGAACTGACGAAAGCAGTGCGTATCAAAATAAGAAGACAATGGTTCTAAGGTTAAATTGTTCAGCAAATGAGCGCAAGTGTAAAATCCGCACCGATGTAGGGTAAGCAGTCAGAAAGAGAGGAGTAAGATGGAGGGGGAGAGGGGCACATAACGTGGAATATGATCTTTGCTCCTTCATTATAGCTTGTGATGGGAAGAGAGAGATAAACAAGGACACAAGTAGACTTAGAACTGAAGCGTAATAGAGTGGAGGGGGAAATAAGGTTAGATAGAGAAGTATATTGCCATAGTATTAAGAATCCTGGATTTTTTCCACATTAAATATGTAGAAAGGCTTACTAAATGCTGACGAGGC